TGGAAAGGCTAGGCAGCTTGCCCAAGAATAAGAGTCTGCACTGGCTTAAAAGTGAGGCATTCAGACATTAGTGTCCATGCTCTGAATTGCTCCACAGCACCATCTCCTTGTATCAGAGTGATTTCCTGGAGCAAAGGCGATCTGATCTTATTCACACAGGGGCAGGCAATAACTGCCTGAGTACAGGACTCCTATGAGGCGAATGGTATTGGAACCCTGAGCTAGTCCAGTTACATAACCAGCATAACCATTGGAAAAGCTGTCACATAAGGGAAGGCTGCCTCTGGGACTAGAAGAAAGAATATGCCAAGATCTGGTTCTGCAATGGATGAACTGTTTGACCTTGGGCTGAAATCTTCACATTTAGGCTCTGATTTTGCAAAGAAGTTCTTGGGCTGAGTGATCTCTGGAGATCCTGTCATGTAAGCAGCCCCTGCCAGCACTCCTACTGGGGAGTGATTACTGCAAAGACAAGGAAAGTGGTAAGCAGGTTCTTGCACCTCCCAAAGTAAGTAGCAAATAGCTGTTTGGGTGTCCTGAGGAGTTCTGAAAACATTGGGCCTAGTTGCCTCCTGCTTCATCTTGCACCATATGCCTGAAGCTACTGAATGAATAAACATCACTCGAGGCTATTTCTGGATGCTCAAGAAACTTTGAAAAAAAGAAAGAAATGATTATTTAGTGAGGGGAGTATTATAGAAGACCCATTTAGGGAGGAGGGTGAGGGTTCTCATTGTTTTGATCCTTGAATTCCCTTTAGGTGGACTGGAAATGCTAACATCCTGAAACTTTTAGGACCTCTGCGTGAAGAACTGTCCTGCCCCAAATGCTCTTAGCACTCCCACTGAGAAGGAGTAAAAGAGTTTCTTACAGTGGAAACACACCAAACCTCTTTGTGCATTTTTCTGAACATCAATCAATAATCCATTAACTTAGGGGAAGCTGAATGCTCTTCATACAGGAATCCAAAATAAATTGACAGCTATCCTCTGGCAAGAACTATAGAAAGGCTGTATGGGCCTGGACAAGGCATTTCATTTCCTTGGGCTTCAGTTTCTTCATCTTTATAGCATAGAAATTATAGCCATAGAATGTTAATTCTATAGCTTCCTAATTTCTCTCCCCAGAAAGGAGAAATAAGTTGTAAACACAGAGGTTTAGAAAGACTTTGTTTTCCCCATGTGGGACATGCTAGGTACATGTACTGCAGTTAACCAAAATGCATAGGGTAAAGTTTAGGCCAAAAGAATGCAGAATCACATTATCCCAGAATATTTTAATAAGGTATGTTTTCAATGATTTAGCATTTTTTTTCTGGAAATATATTTGAATTTTATCAGACCTAAGGACCAAAATTCAGGCAAGGTCATGGAAGGCCACCCTTTTGGCTGGCTAGACTTGAATAGAAATCTACTCAAGAAAAGAAGTTTGTTAGGAAATTTAAAAAAGGATAATTCTAAGTCATGGGCCAGGTGAAAGTAATCTAGCCAGAAAATACATTTGGGGGGAGGTACTAAGGGAAAGCAGTGGCTCTAAGAGGTGTTACCCTGGAATGTGGTGTGGTTATTGGAATATAAAGTTGAAAATATAATTACTCTTCTATCTTCCTCTTCTTCTTTATGCCTGAATTACTCCCAAGATAGTTCTTAGCAGTTATTTATTTATTTATTTATTTTTTAAAAAGATACTTCATTCTTTTGAGGAAACTATTAACTGCTTTTGTTTTTAGTTTTTTTTTTTTTTTTTTTTTGGTTTAAGATTCTGAGGTTAAAAGGAAAATCATGCAACTAGTGTGTTCATGCTTTGGAAACTTGAACTTCATAATGTTGGATTTCAGCCTTTTTGCTTTTGTCTTATCCCTTTAGAAGGAATCTGTTTTATTTGGTTTGGCTTTATACTCTCGTTCTGGAAGAACTCAGAGCTTTCCATTGCTGCCCATGACTTATGGCCTGTGTTACACCCATTGGTTTCTGTAGGAATGATGACCCAAGAAGCTAGGAATTTGACCGCAGAAAATAGCAAAGCAATGACGGAACTGGTTATTGACCATAGGATTAGTGCCCTGAGGGTCCAGGGCAGAAATGGCTGTTAACAGTAGGGAAGCAACAGGCTTTTGCACCAGCCTACTGCTGGCTCGTATTCAACACTGCCTCTATTGCTCCTAGAGCGCAACAAAGAAGAAAAAGGAACCCATGCTTGCTGGGCCCCCTGCAGGCCAGGTTCTTCCCAAACATTGTCTCAATTGATCATTTCACCTGCCATGTGGGCAAGGCATTATTACCCCCACTGAAGCTTACAGAGGTTAGACTTATCTAAGACCATATATTTTGGCTTCACTGACTTCAGTCTGTTTCCAAAATATTTTTCACGTGACTCCTTATTTTTGATGTATATGAACTTATAGACAGTTCTTGAGTCCTTGTCTATGTGAAGCACATGTTGTGAAAACTGTTTGCATGGGGCCAGGCATGATGACTCATGCCTGTAATCCCAGCACTTCGAGAGGCCAAGGCGGGCGGATCCCCCGAGGTCAGAAGTTTGAGACCAGCCTGGCCAACCTGGCAAAACCCAGTCTTTACTGAAAATACAAAAATTAGCCAGGCATGGTGGCAGATGCCTGTAATCCTAGCTACTCAGGAAGCCGAGGCAGGAGAATTGCTTGAACCCAGGAGGCAGAGGCCGCAGTGAGCCGAGACTGCACCACTGCACTCCAGCCTGGTGATAGAGACTCTATCTCAAAATTTTTTTAAAAAAAGTTTGTATGGTATTGTTTGCTTATATGATGTTTGGAACAAGGAAATGACTGAGACTGACCATGCTCTGGCTCTGGAGGCTCTCTGGGGGTACCTGGAGGACTCCTTGGGTCATACCAATCCAGTAGGGTGCAGCCTAGTGTGAAGATCACAACTCAAGTCTTGGTTTTGCTTCTTAGCAGCTGAGTGACCTTGGGCAAGTTTTCATACTCTCTCAGCCTGAGTTTCTCATCTATAGCATGGAAGTAATACTAGTGCTTCCCTTACAGGATCGCTGTGAAAAGAACATGAGATGCCCTTTGCAGGGACATGGATGAAGCTGGAAGCCATTACCTTCAGCAAACTAACACAGGAACAGAAAACCAAACACCACATGTTCTCACTTATAAGTGGGAGCTGAGTGATGACAACATGGACACAGGGAGGGAAATGAGGCACACTGGGGCCTGTTGAGGGGGGGGACGGGCTGGGGGAGGGAGACATCAGGATAAATAGCTAATGCATGCTGGGCTTAATACCTAGGTGATGGGTTGATAGGTGCAGCAAACCACTATGGCACACGTTTACCTATGCAACAAACCTACACCTCCTGCACATGTATCCCAGAACTTAGAATAAAATAAAATTTGAAGAGGACATGAGATAATGCAACAAAGTAGTTAGCACATAGAAAGCTGCTACTATTTCAGTACGTCTCCTGCTACCCAAGGTGCCTCCTGATATAAGAGCGCCTTCCTGAGGCTGTCAGAATGACTGGAGGCGAGGCCAGGAATGAGAGGGGGCACCAGGCCTGAGGAGTAGGGAGAATAGAGGAGAATGGCTTCCTGACAGAGACTACAACCCCTCAACCCCAGGCCTGTGTTATAGGCACTTGCACTTTAATGTAAGTAAATCCCAGAACCCTGAAGAAACACAGCTCAGAGCTGGCATCCTTCTGGGCATTTCCTGGAGTGGAGCCAGATTTCAGAGGGCTCTCTCAAATGACAGTGTCAGCACTCAGAGCTGATGGTTGAAGTTTGCAAGAGAACAGCATCCAGCATCTTCTTTTGCTACTCTCCTGGGCCAACATGAAAGTGAGTAATAATGGATACAGGCCTTGCTTAAGTGGTGAGTCTACTGTCCAAAGTTTGGCTGTAATTACGTTGCTCAGATTAGAGCTAAGTAAATGCTGGATTTGTTTTGGTTTTTTACTATGAGCAAATGAATCTTATTTCTTACTTGGCATAGTTGTCCCAGCTTGTTCATTCAACACACACTTAAGCGTGTCCCCCATGCGTGGTGCATGTGGCACTGGGCATTCAGTAGAAAGCTAGAGGCTGGGCGCAGTGGCTCACGCCTATAATCCCAGCACTTTGAGAGACCATGGATCACCTGAAGTCAGGAGTTCAAGACCAGCCTGGCCAACATGGTGAAACCCCATCTCTACTAAAAATACAAAAATTAGCCAGGCGTGGTGGTGCATGCCTGTAATTCCAGCTACTTGGGAGGCTGAGGTAGGAGAATTGCTTGAACCTGGGAGGTGCAGGTTACGGTGAGCTGAGATCATGCCATTGCACTCCAACCTGGGCAACAAGAGGGAGACTCTGTCTCAAAAAAGAAAGAAGAAAAAGAAAGAAAAGAAAGATGAAAGAAAGAAGAAAGGAAGGAAGGAAGGAAGATGAAAGAAAGAGAAGAAAGAAAGAAAGAAAAAAGAAAGAAAGAAGAAAGAAAAGAAAGAAAGCTAGACCTACAGAGTTCCTACCTTCTAGTGGAGGAGAGGAGCAATTAAACTAGAGGAAACAAGTGTGGTGAGGGCGCTGGCAGGCTGGTGGAGCAGCAACAGCAGCAAGAATCCTGACTATGGTGCCAGGACCATTTGAACTAAACCCAGAGGGCTCTGACTCTGCCTTGATCCCTCCAGAAAGCTTCCCAGGGCCCCGACTGCCCTGTGCCTGTCAGGTGACCACATCAGTGAGCAGCGTCCCACCTCAGCCTCTTTGCCCAGTGAGATCTGGGAAACCTCCTCCTTCCTTTGCCTCTGAACCCTCGCAAAGATGACCAAGGGTTTTGAGGCATAGTTTTTAGGAAAAAAACAGAAAACAAGGAAAACAATATAAACAAGAAAAAAAGCACAACAAGAAAAAGGTATCATGCCTTACTGGGCCTTGCTTAGGTATTGAACATTGTGCTAAGAATTTTTCTATGTATATTACACTGTGCCATTTATTTCTCTGAGGTTGATATTGTTGTTATGTCCATTTTTTTCAGGTAAGGAAACTAAGGCTAAAGAGGAGAATGAAATGGATCACAAACCTAACCAATGGCAGAGTTGTGATTGAAACCCAAGAAAATGTGAAAGGTAATTGATCATTTCTTATGAAGGATTATTTTGTTTTATTTTATTTTTTGCAGAGGCAAGAGAGGGAGACATTGTTGTTCCCAGAAAAGGGCCTTTAGGGACAATAAAGAAAGGAATCCTTGATGGGACTTCTAAATCCTCCGATATCTGGTAGTGCTGGCCACAGGAGGAGCCCAGTAACTATTGAATAAGGCAGCGAGGGAGGGTATGAGGAAGGGAATGAGGGAATGAGTGAGGCCCCTCCCAGCTTACCAGGGCCTGTGCAGGCTTTTCTCCCACACATCCCAGTCACAGGCCAGCTTCCTACAGCCTCTTTCTTCCATCTTGCAGCTCCCAGGCATCAAGGGTAGCTTGGTAGTTGGTTTCCACCACTGTCATCAGTCCCTGAAATCCTCATTCTTACAACACTGGCTGTACCTGGAACTTTGTCTCCCTGGCTTCTCCAGATGCTACTGCCCTGGAGACAATCCCACAGGCCCATTTTATTTCTAAGGGTCAGAGGGCTATAGCAGTTCAAGACCCCTGGTGGATGCCTGAAATCACGAATAGTACTGAACCCTATATATATTATACCAAGTTAAATTTTTTTTTTTTGAGACAGAGTCTTGCTATGTTGCCCAGGCAGGAGCACAGCAGCTATTCACAGGCATGGTGGTAGCTGACTGCGGCCTCAAACTCCTAGGCTCAAGGGATCCTCCTGCCATAGCCTCCTGAGTCGCTGGGACCGCGGCAGCATACTATCTTTTTGACCTGATAACTGAGATGGCTACAAAGTGACTAACGGATTCGTAGGGTATACATCGGGGATACACTGGATAAAAAAGGATGATTCACATCCGGGGGTGGAGTGGGAGGGCGCAAGATTTCATCATGCTACTCAGAACGGTGCTCAACTTAAAATTTACACATTGTTTATTTTTGGAACTCTCCATTTAATATTTTTGGACCTCGGTTCACTGAGGGTAACTGAAACTTCAAAAAGTGAAACTGCAGATAAGAGAACTACTGTACAAACAGTAAATATCAGGAAGTTGTAGAGGTTATGAAACCTTCCCAACCACTCCACGAATGACCTACTTTTAGCTCTGACTGTCTATCATGTGGTCTTCCCAGAGTCAGACGACAGCCTTTTCGCTTTCTACCTTGGCGGTGGTGATTGTTGGTAGGTTATTTAACCTCCCTAACTATGTCTGTAAAATGGCCCCCATTCAAGATGGTTCTGTATTGAAAGCTCTTAGTACAAAGAAAACAGTAAATAAATGTTGTTAAGGACTGAATTTTGTCCCTCCAAAATTCATGTAGAAGTCCTAACCTCCAATGTGACTCTATTTAGATGGTAATTAAGGCCAAATGAGGTCAGAAAGGGTGGAGTCCTAATGTAATAGGATTGCTATTCTTAGGAAAAAGGGGGCTGGGTGAGGTGGCTCATGCCTGTAATCCCAGTGCTTTGGGATGTCAAGGCAAGTGGATGGCTTGAGCTCATGAGTTTGAGGCCAGCTGGGCCACATGCTAAAACCCATCTCTATAAGAAATACAGAATTAGCTGAGCATAGTGGTGCACACCTGTAGTCCAGCTACTTGGGAGGCTGAGGTGGGTGGATGGCTTGAGCCTGGGGAGATGGAGAGAGCCAAGATATGCCTCTGCACTGCAGTCTGAGCAATAGAGCCAGACCTTGTCTTAAAAAAAATGGAGGAAAGAAAAGAAAAGAAGAGAAAAATGGAAGAGACACCAGAGATGCACACACAGAGAGAAAAGGCCATATGGGGACACAGGGAGAGAGTGACTGTCTACAAGAGACCTCAGGAAAAACCAACTCTTCTGACAGGTTGATCTTGGACTTCCAGTCTCCAGAACTGTGAGCAGATGAATCCACATGTTCAGTCTACTTCCTTTGCTTTCCTTGTTATTTGAACACGTTTGCCAGGCGAGGTGTCAGAGCCGCTGTATCACAAAGTGGTCACCTTGTGGGTTGGTAAGAAGAATTTAATGAAAACACTATAAATTGGAAAAAGGAAAGTTCTAGAAAGAAAGAATATTGCAAAAGGTGCAACAAGGCACCTCAGTGAAAGAGAACTGAGCATGTCATGGTGGATTTTCCTTAGGAGCATTTATGGACCTTAAGGTGGGAGTTTAAGGGTAATTTGGACTGTATTAGGCAGGTAGGCCATGATACATGATTGCATCTGTAGACATTTTGGTGCTTTAATGTCAGCAAGGGTTGTACAATGAGTTTTGACATGCACGCATTGTGGAGATGTATACAAATTCTAGTTCCTTGTGACATTTTTAAAAGAGACCTAGATACCAACATTAGATACTAGGAAAGTTTAATTACTTCTAAATTCTTCAGATAAGGAGTTTTTGTCTCCAGAGCTTGCTCGATGGTCACCATGTGATTTTCCTCTCCTCATTTGCAACCCTGACAAATATCTTGGTCAAATCTTTGACCCTTTACATTCTCCCATGCTCACGTTTACCTGCTGCCTATTCGGGTCTAAAGAAAGGGAAAATGGCAGTGAAGGGAAGTGATGAGTCTGTGTGGCTGCTTCCTGCTGAAAGGGGGCTTTGAGGGGATAAGTTGTGTTTTTCCTTTTTTTTTTGCTCTGTGTCATAGAGGGTCATGAAAAACTCATTCACGAAGGGTTGGGACTAGATTCTATCGAGTCCCCATGTAAATGGAAGTTGCCGTTGCAGGCCCGTATGGGGATTGCATAGCCATCTGTAGCTGGAATCGTAATCTGGAAGATATAATCTTAATGAGCGCATTAAAAGGGCAGGGGGGCAAAAATTAAAAGAAGCATGACAAGGAATAAAAGTCCAAGGAATGGGACCTTGGGAACCAGTCTTGGTTACTTTGGGAAAGTGTGTGTAGCCATTTGGCTTGTTTGAAAATGTCCTGGACATGAGTTGCCACTTCTCCAGACCACAGGTGTTGTTGATGACAGCACAGACTCCTCCTTGTTCCGGTAGGAGGTGGTCAAGAACTCATCTATTAGTGAGTCTACAGACTTTTCTAGAGCTGATAGACTTGCACCAGTTTTTTTTCTAAGGCTACTTAGAAGGAGGTGGTCAGTTCTCGTAGTGTGATTTCATGGTAAATAAAATCTCCCAAGGAGTGACAGTTGCTATAGTTCCCACAACTCTGGCCACAGTAAGCCCTAGGGCCCTTTTTATTTCTAGAATGGCATTCTGAATTGAAGTTATGTTCAAGACAGTGATTTGGGTGGGAACTATTGTTCCTAGAGTACAATCGCCAGAATGAAGAGAATTATCAAGGTAGAATAGGGCCAAAGCTTGAAAAGGGTTTAAATAATTATTGGCAGTGCCACAAAGCCATAAGAGTCCAGGAGCGGCAGGTAATATAGTGTGATTAGCTTATGAATGCATAAAATATATGTAGATACAAATCCATTTTATCATATGCTAGTGCAAAACATACACAAATCTATTATAAAAAGTTAAAATTTATCAAATTTTACACAAACCCTTAGGGATTATACACGGCGCTATCTGCAGTCAACAGAAATGCAGCCAAGCATGGTGGTACATGCCTGTGGTTCTAGCTACCTGGGAGGCTGGGACAGGAGGGTTGCTTGAGCCCCGCGGTTCAGGGCTACAGTGAGCCATGATCGCACCACTGCACTCCACCCTGGGTGACAGAATGAGACCCTGTCTCAAACAAACAAACAAACAAAAAGCACTCAAAATGTAAAGACGTGGTATTAAATCATAATTGCATAAAATTAACTGTAGTAATACTATGCTACTGTAATAGTTTTTGTAGCCACCTCTGGTTGCAGTGAGCTCACTTAAAACTCCCGGTGACACTATCATCTCCATGTGAGCCGTTCACCTCTCTAGTAAATTGCACGTCGCAGTAAAAATGATTTCACAAGGTTTGTGTGCATTTTTCATCATGTTTAGTACAATGCTATAAACCTTGAATAACACCATGGGACCCATACAAAGTGCCACTAGTGATGCTGGAAGTACTCCCAGGAAGCAGAGAAAAAGTCATGACATTATTAAAAAAAAAAATAATAATGAATTGCTCAATGTGTGACAGATTGAGATCTGCAGCTGTGCTTGCCCGCCATTTCAAGATAAATAAATTCAGTGTAAAGACCGTTGTAAAAGAAGAAAAGGAAATACATGAAGCTATCACTGCAGTAACACCAGCAGGCACGACAACCTTGCAATTTTTGCAAAATAAGTTTTTTATATTGATGCATAATAGATGCACATAGTTCTGGGATGTATATGATAATTTAATACATTCACATATTTTGTAAAGATCACATCAGTGTACTTGAGATAGCCAACACGTTAAATATTTTTCTTTTTTCTTTATACTAGAACTGTTTGAATTCATCTAGCTATTTTTAAATGTCCAAGATGTCATTCTAAACTATAGCTCCCTATTGATATAGCTAACACTATTTCTTCTAGCAAACCATATATTTGTACCCATTATTCCACTTTTCTTCTCCCCCTAACTCTTAAACTTTCCAGTCTCTAGTATCTACCAGTCTACTTCCTGTCTTCATGAGATGCACTTTTTTTTTTAGCTCCCACCATATGAGTGAGAACATGTGATATTTGCCTTCCTATACTTGGCTTATTTCACTTAACATAATATCCTCTACTTCTATCCATGTTGCTGCAAAGGACAGGATTTCATTCCTTTTTTATGACTGAATAATATTTTAGTACAGTTTATGTACTACATTTTCTTTATCCATTCATCCACTGATGGGCACTTACGTTGATTCCATATTCTGGCTATTATAAACAGTGCTGCAGTAAATATGGGAGTGCAGGTATTTCTTATACATATGAATTTCCTTTCTTTTGGTTTTCTACTCAGTAGCGGAGTTGCTGGATCATGCAGAAGTTCTTCTATCTTTTAGTGTTTTGAAGAACTTCCATACTGTTTTCCATAATGGCTATACTAATTTACATTCCCACCAGTGTATGAGAGTTCCCTTTTCTCCACATC